ATATGAGATGAAATCGGATAGAGATTAAATCGACGAGTTTTAAGAGTTTTTAAAAGTTTTAATCAAATGCTTTTATAAGATGGTATAGATAATCCCATCCTTACAAGTTACAAATGAAATACGACCTTTGTCCTTGCAAACTACCATCTTATCTTCATTTCTCTAAGTCAAATCTAATTTCACCCAAACTCAATGCTTCCCTTTTTCATCGAATTACTATACAATATAATTGACATAAATATGGTCTCAATCATGTGTCAGATTATCATCATCCAACCGCATATTTTTCAATGATCTTATAAAATCAGTTTGTTTAAACATGATCCCGGTGCATCGCTATATATTTTAAACAAGTTTCCGTGACACGCTGCATTGGAAACTACACAAGCTTATTTTTAATAATTATATATAGTTACTAATTGAATGGTAATTAGATTGGATTGGTTCGGTCTCATTAGATTTTGACTGTCATCCAAGAAGCAGCACATCCAGTTTGGATGTTGAAATCTTGGATTCAACCCAATCCAATTAGAATTGGATATCCGATTACGGCATGTCGATTTTAATTGAAACGAATGACTTTTTGTAATGTAATTGCTAATTGCTAATTGCTAATTGCATAGAGAAAATAGCTATATAATTCTTTTTGTTAAAACTTTTACATGATGTTTGTATGAGATATAAACTTGTGGGGACTGAGGCGTAATAAACATAGACAACAAGGTATGTTTGTAATAAAGCTATATTGCAGGGACCTGGGATGAATCTTAGTCCTAGGGTTTCTTGTGCGCCTCTATATATGTTTCTTTAAGTCCGCTTCTCCCCCTCTTGCATTACTCTTGCTGCAACGCCCAACTTCTGAAACCCTAGGAATCAGAGCAGCCAAGACCCGAGCAGTAACCATGGCGCAACCTAAAGTTTTGACCAACAAGGAGGCCGATATACAGATGATGTTGTCTGCCGAGGTCCATCTCGGCACCAAGAACTGTGATTTCCAGATGGAACGTTACGTATTCAAGCGCCGTAACGACGGTATAACACTGCTTATTGCTCGATTCTTATATTTTATGTATCCTAGATTTGCTTCCTGATTTTATTATGGTCGTTGATTTGGCGAATGTGCAGAGCTAGCCTCATTTCTTCCTACCTTGACTGCAAATTCAGCTATTTTTTCATGAAGGCCACCCTGTTCTGTTTAATTTACCATCAGTGATTGTTATTACCTGTTAGTTGCATAATACAAGACTGGTATACGACTAAACTCGTGTCAAACCTCTTGATTTAGCGACTTCTTAGATGACCAGGTTATTGTTGATTGCAGTGTATACAGACTTGAGTTTGTATACTATGTGGGCGAATTAAGTAGAGCTGTTGCATTTCAATACAAAGTTATTCGAGGATGTTGTTTACTCTTTATTGACTTGATTTTGGTCGTTGCCAAGGATTTATATGGTACTGCTGTTCAATCTATTTCAGGGAAGTTCTAGTAACTTGTTCATATGGGCACTAGGTTTTTATTTGTTGGAAAAAGATGTTATTTTTGTTAACAATGTAACTTCAAAAAGGTCATATGGAAGTGGGATATGCTACTTGCGATGTTTAATTATGCCATTTCTTTTGCAGTCCGTTTCTTGATTTCAGCCTATTAAACTTACATTTTGTAATTTTATTTCTTTCTCTTGCTGAGTTTGTAGCTGGACATGTTTAGAATTACTATCCGTTGAAATCTCATTAAGATTTTGATTTGGATCAGGTCTGTTCTTTTTTTTAATCTGTATACAATTCTCTTGATCCCAAAAGATGTTTTCATATTTTCTTTTTGTAGATAATCGTTGATAAAGTTTTTTTTGTTCTTGCAAACCTTTAGAATGTTACTTTGGTTTTTTACAACTTATTTTGATCATGTTATATTCTACATTGCACATATTCTCCAAACGGTGCCTTGTGTAGTCACTGTAGTTTGCTTTTTTACCTTTTGTGTTTGATGTTTCTGTTATCTTTCTTTTTCTCCGTGCAGGAATTTACATCATTAACCTAGGCAAGACATGGGAGAAGCTTCAGATGGCTGCCAGGGTGATTGTTGCCATTGAAAACCCTCAGGACATTATTGTCCAATCTGCCCGACCATATGGACAAAGGGCTGTGCTGAAATTTGCTCAGTACACAGGTTGTCATGCCATTGCTGGTCGTCACACTCCTGGTACCTTCACCAATCAGCTTCAGACATCTTTCAGCGAGCCTCGTCTCCTCATCTTGACTGATCCACGGACTGACCACCAGGTTGATTCTTTTGATTCTGTGCTATCTGTTTGTTCTTGATTGCAGATTTGCCTGATGTCATGTTCTATTGATAAAATTATGGATTTCAAGTTGCACTTTTATGATGCCAAAGTCAAGCTTACATCACTCATTTTGGTTGCCAATGCATAGTGAAAGTATATTCTGTTTTTTGTTGGTCTGACACCATTATGGATCGTTGACAGCCAATCAAGGAGGCTGCATTAGGGAATATCCCTACAATTGCTTTCTGTGATACGGATTCTCCCATGAGATATGTTGATATTGGTATCCCTGCCAACAACAAGGGTAAGCACAGCATTGGATGTCTGTTTTGGCTTCTAGCTAGAATGGTCCTGCAGATGCGAGGTGTGATCAATCAAGGGCACAAGTGGGATGTTATGGTATGCACTGGATTTCAAATTGAGCAGCATATCTTTAATAAGAATTGTGGTTTCCTGAAGTGAAATTTGTGTGTTGCAGGTTGATCTGTTTTTCTACAGGGAACCAGAGGAGGCAAAGGAACAACAAGAGGATGATGCAGCTGCCCCTGCTGATTACACAGATTATGCTGCAGGTGCACTTGGCATGGGTGACCAATGGTCAGCCCAAATTCCAGAAGCCCAATGGGCTGGTGAAATAGCCCCTCCTCCAATTGCTGGTGCCCCTGTAGCTGCAGGTGCGACTGGTTGGACTGGTGCCGAGGGTAGGGATTAAAAATCTGTATATTTGTTTTAATGCTCTTTTTGTTGACTCTTGCTTGAGTGATGATGGATTGTGTGTTTGAATTTTTATTTACAGCTTCAGTGGGTGGTGCGGATGGATGGGAAGCGGTTGCTGCTCCTGTACCTCAACCAGAAGGTGCAGCTGCAACCGGGTGGGAATAAACGGAACATTATGTTTGAATTTTTACTTTTAGTCTTTTGTTGTTGAAAACCAAACCCCAAGTATGCTGGAACTAGTACTATGAGAAATTTTTGATGGTTTTGTTATGAAAGAGTTTAATTTTGCTTTCATATGCTGCTTGTGTTGAATATGATTGGAGCTTTGATGTTTTTATATATCTGGTTTTCTTTTTTCTATTGTTGTAGCATAGCGGTTGTTATGTGTGGGTTTGGTTATTGCTTGGAATCTTTGTTTCAAATGAAAATATACAACATATAATAAGGTGGAACATGTTAGGAGAGTTAAAGGTGAGAAGTGTAAGAAAAGATGTGAACTTTTGATCATCTTTATATCTCAACTCATGGGAGATTGATCTAGTGCATCTCAGTGTATCTCAACTCATGGGAGATTGATCTAGTGCATCTCGGTGGAGATCTTTCTTATGCTTCTCGCCTTGATTTGGAATCCAACCCACATATATATATATATATATATATATATATATAATCTATTTTTTGACCTTAAACAGGAAACATATATTTAGCCACCCATGTTGACAATCTCCTTGTACATGCAGTACTCTGATGGTTCTTGACACACTATCAAAAACCAAGAACGAGGTCGATCCTAGCCACATGTAAAATATGTTCTCTTACGTTTGTTTTTTTTTTTTTAATAATAATATTAATATATCTTCTCTAATAACATTATTACTAAGTATTTATTATTTAAGAATATTGCATATATATATATATATATATATATATATATATTCATTACTAAATAAATACCAACTCCAAAATGGTGTTTAATAAATTTAATCAATACAAAATATTATTTACTTGGATCAAATATTGTTTTGTTTATTTGATTATAAATAGAGGAAATAGCAGGAAAATTAATCTACTAAACTTGTAAAAAAAGGTTTAAAAATCTTAAATTGTTAAGTAAATGAAATTCTTTAGAAGCGATAAAATTTAAGAGTGCAAATTTTGTTCAAATATCTTTTGTTGGTGATTGTCGTCTATAAGTCATCGTCTTTTGTTAGTGATTGTCGTCTATAAGTCATCGTCTTTTGTTGGTGGCTTTGCTAAATATTGGTTTCCTTCTTGGTCGGCTATATCATCATCCAAGTCAAGTGATTGTTGCATTGCATCATAACTATCCTTGTGCATCATGCCACTAAAAGAAAAAAAGACAAAGTGGTGCTCGCTTGGACAATTAGTCCTTGGCCAAAATCGAAAAAATGTGCTTCCTTCTCTTTCCATTCCACCATATACATAACAAAGTTGACCTCATATAAGTACTTAGTTCTAACAAGCTTGGTTAATTATTTTGCCTTTTCTTCCTACTCTAGAATAGATGGCCCTTTACCATTATCTAAAACGTTAGAGACAAAATTTGTATTATCAAATTTATCATTATATGCCTCAAAAAGAAGTCGTAAAAAGCTACATATCATTATATGCCTCAAAAAGAAGTCGTAAAAAGCTACAAAAGCTGAATGCAGACTTTATTTGACAAGTTCTATTTCAATGTGGGAAACAACAATCGCTACATTCTTATCGTTTTAATTTCATCACCATAAATAAATATATTTAACAGTGACCTTTTTAAGTAACACAAATTCTAAACTACGGGATATGTTAAAAAGTATCATAAATCCATTGTTACAACCTTTTCTTTTAATTCCATGGTTTATTGAACAATTGTTCCTTCACCATTTATTTTTCATGAGATTCGTTTACACAAAAAAGGGATTGGGATTGTAACAGGCAAGAAACTGTGTCTGTAAAATAATAATAATAATATATTTACAAAGATTCACACACACACACACACACACACATATATATATATATATATATATATATATATATATATATCTCCTAAGTTTTGTTTTTTAAACAGCAACCAACCAAGAAAGCAAGCAAGCAACTATAGCAATCTGTTGTTTCTTCTAAATTTCTTGTCCTAGGCTAGCATTTTATTTGTGAGGAGCAACCCACATCCTTTGGACGGGATGGATGAATCGAATGGCCGATGGCTTTCCGTTAACAAATTTATTTCTCAATTCCAAAACTTAAGGGAACCACATTCCTCCATGAATCACCCATTTCACAAATCCATCTGGGTATTCTCCTTCCTCACCTCCCCCATCTCCCTGTTCCTGTCCCTGTCCCTGTCCAACAACATTATCACTGTTACATTTCACAAATCCATCAGGGTATTATTCATCAATATGTTTGCTATTAGAAAGAAACTCACCTTCACGTTCAGAGATAAGTCTGAATCACATGTCCCCACCACATTCTCAGATGACTCATCACCAACTATCAGTGTAGATCTGCATGCAAGTATTTATTACTACTGATAAAACAATGGAGGAGAGAAGAGAAAATGCACATTACCATTACCTTTCATATGCTTCATCTTCACATGAATTTCCAGATGAAGAGAGCCATTCCACATCAAGAAAATTAGAACAGTTAATAGAATCCAAACGTTTATTGTAGAATATGTGATCACTGTTGGGATAATCTTCAGAATGACCATCTAGGAGCAGCTGTCGACGAGACATAGAGGCTGTATACCTGCACACCTTACAAGCCTTAGAAACATTCAAACTAATTTCACATGTTCAATATCCACTCGTATTATTTCCAAAAGCCCACAAGAATTATCATGTCAATATAATAATATCCAACAAACCTTGGATAAGATGAATCACTTTCACAAGTTGAGATTTCAGGTGATGATTCTGATAGGCCTTTTCTGCTATCTTGTGCTTTTTCAGGCTCAATGACCGAGCTGGCTTCACACAGACCGTCTGACAATGACCTTTTAAATGGCCGCCTGCATATGCACAAGGTATAACTATGACAGGACATAACAAGTCTGGCGTAACAAGATTTTGTGCTATTTTCTTCATTACACCTTCTCTTCAAGGCATAGGACGTAGTATCTCAAGAGATTTGCCCTTTTCTTTTGTTTAGTTTTAGGATTTTCCACTATTCTTTATTCTGTAGAAAAGATGTGTCACAATAAGCAAGCAAATACCACAACAATATCAAAGCATTGTACCTTGTGTTTTCCTGAAATAGATTAGAACCACGGCTTCCAACATTGTAATGCTGGTCAGAGTCCAATTCCCATAATGCAGGTTTACCAAGTTGTGGCTGATAATGACCCAGGAACCTGCCCAAACAACAACCCAATTGAAAATCGAAGAGAATGCTATGACAGGTAACTAGACGTAGATTCTAGATGAAGGAAGCAGCAATTGCTGTGACCCGTCTCTCTTTGATCTCGATCCAATGAGCACCATAACTTCTAGATTGGAGACATAACGAAATCTAAGACACCTCAAAACATCAGTACTTAGATAAAAGATCAAGTCCCATCCACAAGTCTTAGATGTATATTTATACATGCACACACACGCACACACACACACACACACATATATATATATATATATATATATATATATATATATATATATAGAACACATGATTGCAGGTACATACATGACAATATTTCACTAAAGAAACTATAGAAATGAAGTTCAGATGAAGCATGGTTTAACTTACACATTAATAGCATCCTGCTTTTCAGCATCCATGTATGCATTACTGTAGTAGCGCTGTAGAGTTCTAAAGAATTCCTGGGACTGAGTTGCTGCTTTCCATTGACCTCTTCGCTGACTAAATATCTGTATAACAAAATTTAGTGAATATGAACTTTAACAGAATAATGCTACCAGTTCCTCCAAAGAAGTTAAATGGACATCCTTCTAAACATCCTGTTCTAAGTATGAAGAAGATAGCCTAGCAATGCTGATGCAACCTGATTTAACTAGGATTATGCTATAAACTCTTCCATTTGACATGACAGCAATGGCAGATTATGGAAGGCAGCAAAACTATAAGCACAGTCAGCAGAAGGTGAAGAAAAACTATTGTCAAAAATATGGGAATAGAAAGGATCTTTATTTAACACTCCCACGCCTAACCATATATCTTAATCATCAGTGCATATCATCTACTGATATGGATAAAAGGATCCAACATTAGAAAAACTCTATAATAGATCCCCACCATACACAAGGCAAGATAGGCTTCAGGTTCATTTAACACTTTATTGGCTGAGTATTCCAACAAGAGATCAAAATGTTACATAAGAACTATCAATGATTTTTCATTGATTTCCTGTGACCTCTCTAAAATGTAACCACTTACATAAAACTGTCCTTGCAGATGCATAGAAATCACACGTATGCGTCATAAAGATCATGGCACCATGAAACATCCATATTTGATTGAATAAACATTTAACATGGTCTCAGATAGTGGTAACATCACTTCACTACCTTATTGTGAGCTGCAGATCCACCATACTGAAGTGCTAGGGTGTCACCCATTTTCTCATAAACCCCCATCAAATCATCTGCTAGAGGAGAATCCAGCTCAATAGCTGGGGAATCTATATATCCTAAAGCATGCAATTGATGGCCAAGTGCAGCCCAACCATAGGCATATTGGGCAACATTTGTTCGATCCAAACAATCTATACAATTTGTTCTCAGGACCCCTGTCTGATATTTAGGAGGCTTCATCCTGACTTTCCTATTTGCATTGCTGCTATCATGACTAACTACGTTATTTAAGCCGTCAGCATCACTGGTCTCAGTACCATGCTTCTGCGAACAACAATGATTACCACCTTCGTCCCTGTATCATTGGTTACAAAGAAGGGTTGATGGTTAAAATCTAACAGCAAACATTAACAGTAATGGAATTGCACAAGCTCAAAAATTATCTAGCAATGAATTGAATAAGATAGAAATATGCATTGCACCATTGAGGCAAGTAATAAAGTAATTGATAAGGCTACTCATTCATGACCATAAGTTCATGAATTTGAATAACAGAAACCAACTCTTTTGCTGATTGCAAGAGAAAGTCGAGGAGCCACAGTGTGCCACATTCACCCCCTATTGGAAGCTGCAGCTGTCTATTTCACTTCAACATTTTTATTTGAGCAGCAATCTCTATTTAAAACCCACAAATTCATATTATAGATGGAAAACCTTCTCCCAAACAATTATGCAAAATGGTTTATTATTTCACCCCAGAGTTATGATAGAAATCATGAAAACATAAAGAGTCTATGCTGAAGAAAGAAGTATGTTCAGGGTTAACTTACTCAGAACGCTCCAGTAACTCTTCAGACTTTGAAATTGGGTTTACTTGACAATAGAAGAAACCCGTTAGGTTCAACGCATAAGTAGCCACTTTGCCCAAAAGTGCCAACACATTTGTAGATCTACTGGAAAACCAAATACAGAAAAACGAGTCATGGTCAGAGCAATTATTTCAGAAAAAGGGCAAAAACTGTGGAAGAGTTGAAGGAAATGTACTTTCTGGAATATTTGTTTAGATCCCAGTGAAGAAACTTCAAGCGGCTTTCCTCAGGTAAATCTTTATTAATCGACTCAATAGCATTAGCAAATTCCACACGGAGGAGGGATTCCCTGGGTTTCTTTTCTCTGGTCTGCAAAAAGAAACCATGATGGATATAACCAAAAGAAACCAATGGCAGAGAGTCTACAGGTCAGACATAAATTGAATGAAACACATATAATCGATAGGCATGTTTTTTACCTTAACTAAATTCAATATAATAATTGGATTCCCATATCTCATGAAAAGATTCTGGAAGTGAAGCCTGGTGGCTTCATAATTATGGTCTTCCTTTGACACTAAATGAATAAAGAAAATAGTTAACAAACTAAATAGCGAACACAAAGTTAAACAATCTGAGTGTTCTTTATGCTTACAGACGATATCAGGCTTCATATTCAACCGTGAAGTTTCTTGCGACCAGAACAGGGGTATTGAACCACGATTTTGAACAATAGAACTTATTTGCACAGGACATCCTTCTGGAACATCTTCAAACACTATCTGTTCGGTTTCAACATCATTGGCAACACAACCCTTCTCATTCACCCCTCTTTTCAAGTATCTACACCATTACGTAGAGAAAATGAGTGACAATAGCCTTGAGAAATAAATAAGCCTCCCAAATACGGATGCACATAGTATGCATGGCATTCATGCAACTCATCAGTCCGAGTTTCCCCTTTTTCGCCCAAAGAACAAAGGGGGTGGAAAAAGAATGATGAAAATAAAATACAAAAATTGAACATCAGAAGATCACTCTGATATGATGACTATGACAGTAGTCATCTTATCTAACTGTCCTGAACTCCCAGATATGCCCACATTGGACCGCTACTTAGTGCTGCATTACATATTTGAGCACACATACTGAAACAGATCATATATATGGAAACATACAAATATATATATATATATATATATATATATATATATATCAAATAATAACGATGAGCACTGATATCAGCAAATGTATATATAAAGCAGCCGTTTCAGTTGCAGTCGGAAAATGCTAAATGATCCAAAATCAAAGGTGATCAAACCTGGTTCCAGCATAATGGCGAGACCGTCTCGCAATGAGAGTCAACTTGAAGTCCTTTTCAGATATTAAAAGTTTAACCTAATTTTACAAAAATGAAAAGAAACATGACATGTTTATTAGCTGCTCAACCATCAGCAAGTATATAAAGCATGTTTTTATGAAGTAACGTTACAGAAGCATATAAATCACACAAACATGTTTCTATTTCAGGAAATATTTAACGGTAAAAACATAATACAGTTGCATAATTACATTCTTGTCCAGCTATCTTTCTGCATTGTGAAAGTAATTATGCCAGACAGAACTTGCAACAGATGACTTGACAAATATAACAGCATTATACTAATAGATTCATGGATTTGGTAAAAGAAATTGTAACTTTCGAGTTTTACCAAGTCATATTAACGTTTGTCCATCTATTACTGGTTCTGGGATCTTTTAATAATAAAGATACCTGTTTGAAGAATCCATAAACTAGTGCTACCGTCCAGAGGTTATTCTTCAGCTGATTGTGGATTGCAGTAGTCAAAAACTCATTCCAGACAAACATGGTGTCATGAGCACCCTGGCCTGATCCATGACTAGACAAGTTCTTTTGAAAGCTATGCATGACATGGTAGGAGTAGCTGAAAAAGAAGTCCTTTGTAAGATCCACCGAGCACAGGAGCTTCTTGTATCTATTCAATAAAAAAATATTAAAAGCAAAGTAAACGTCAACAAGTCCAATTGAATGCTTAAAAATATATAACTGAAAATGCAAAAGCTGCAGCCTTTAAAAACTTGGAACATAATTAGATAGTCAGCAATAAAAATGCTTTTCCCATGAAACCCTGATGATACCTTGTTTCATTCAACAGTTTAAACTAACATCACAACGGCAATGGACTTCGCCCTGTAATTCGCAGGAAGTACACTGGCAAAATATGCCCCCTATGAAACAATAGTGACTAGAGGGAGTGTAAAAAAAGAAAAAAGGAAAAAAAGCACTATGTATCTGCTAAGATTTAGCGTTAAATATAGGGTAAGTGAATTATTTGTAATTGATACTCGACATTTAAACTGGACAAGCAATATACATAGAACTATTCGAATAGCACAAGGTAATCTAAAAATTAGAAAAACCCATATCTCGATTTAACGTAGAGGGCCATGCATATAGCGCAAAGATTACCTCAACCATGGTAAGCTTGTATGTTATCATAGGAAGAAGCTCAAAGGGAGAGACTAGACGTCCAAAAAACAATATATCAAGTTATAAATTTAAAAAAAAAAACATAAACGGAAAACAACTCAGGTTGAAGTCAATGCTTATCATGATACAATGGTTAACAAGTATTTCTGGCTTCTAACAGCTTTGTGCCTCCTGGAAAATACCAAGTACACTTTACATTTACATGCAGAATTGACGAAAGACCTGTTCTCATTCTTAGAATAAGCCACACTGTGTGCACTAGTAGAATTGGGAATCGGTAAGATCGCGCTCTTAGTAATCGCATACACTGCATGACCACAAATTACACCAATCTTCCTTCTTTTCGTAATAAGCAGCATGTAATGAGGTCCCAAAAACTTTACGAATCCTATAATAAGGAAAAAAACAGACTAGTGAGAACCATGATCAGTTTAATACATACTCATTGAATTGACAAACTTCAGAATGAAGCATACCAACAATGCCGTAACATACGGTGACAAATTTAAGCCCCCCTGTGGACTTATTTCCTTCATGGATACGCTTTAGCAGGTCACAACATTCAATTTCTGTGTACACTGTAGAATCTTCAACAATGTTTAGCTCGAAAGCTTCTAATCTTACAATCTTTAATACTCTCCAAACTGATCTGTTCTTATTGCGTCCAATCATATAAAAGTTCTGTTGCAAGAACAGAATGTAATCAACATCTAGTGACTGTAGCAATCACATAAAGAATCTGACAGAAAGCTGGAGACAGATAATTATGAAAGACAATCTAATTACCAGGGAAAGAATTATTTTCACATGTTGTGCTAAAAAATACCTCATTGTGCAAGAGTGAGAAATCATCATTGTGAAAAAAGAGATCATATCAAAATGCATTGCCTAAGGAAGCATTCTATGCACAATAGATGCAGAGCAATAGCTAGAACTACAAAATCACGGACATCAACTTTGAAGGAAATCAGTAAACTGACCACATGAACGTGATTGGACTCGGGAGATAAGAAATTGATCAACCTCTTTTTGTAAAGCTACGTATGGCTAACATACTGGGGGGAACAGGAGGGCATTATGGCATGTCATGTTTTCTTGTTATTCCTAGCATCTAAATAACAGTAAAAATAAATGCGATATCGTGATCTGGTAAGTTCCAAAACCTAGAATCTAATCATCACAATAAAAAAGGAAGCTGATTTGACAGATCTACCAAATTTGCTTTACCATATAGCGACAATAGGTTCCGGCCGTTCCTCACATGCATAACAAGAAGTTCACTTGTTCATTATTAGTCTCTAAGTCAAAAGGGGGACATTATCGTATATTCATCTCTAGGTTAAAGACTCGAACCTGAGCCCTGCGACACACAGAGGTTCGTCAGATGACAGCAATAATAATCCTAAGCCAAGCAAAGAACTCGATTAGCAATTGGCGAGTCCCTACTTAACTGAAATCACATGGGTGTCTTAAAGATCCTGATGATCGGCACACCAGGATTAAGGTGGCTCTTTGTCTGACTGTTCAATCAATGAACTTTTAAGGAAATAAGGGCCATCAATCTTGTAAAGGTTGATGATGAAGGTAGAAGATGGGATGTTATTACCTTGTATCATCCCCCTACAGACATAAATGCAATAACCAAAGGGTAGCATTAACACTAGATGTCCAGAATACAATATATGCATACATAGAATAAGCACAAACAAGAATAGGAATGATGAAATCATAATTGTTTGACCTGATGCAAACACTTAAGATGGGGATATGGGCATAAAGGATACAGAAATCGGCATGAAGGTTGACTTGAGAAGAATAGTAAAAATTAGATTACAGAGATGTATGGGGTTGAAGAGAGAAGGGATATACCGAACGAGTCTCGTAAAGTCTGAATTTTTGCAGATGGCCATTCTCAACTTTGGGAATCTCTCTGATCCAAGGATGTAGGTCCGTCTGTGAAGCCATGGTGTATGGAAGCGAAGCCCGAGCCTCAAAGCCCGGGCTCTATAACATAAACAAACAGAGATTGGGGGGGAGGGGTGAAGATTGAGGCGCTGTAGATGATAAAGAAGTTGAAATCAGAGCGTATGATGAAAATCAAGAAAATCTTGGAAAGAAGATAATCTGGATACCTGGGATTGAAGTGGAATCTGTGGGTGATGATGAAAAGTGAAGTTGTAGATCAGAAAACGGTAGCGATGATGGAGGGATTGGTAAAGAGAGATAGAATTTAGGTATTTTGGTGGCTGGCAAAAGATCGGAAGAGCAAAATCCCAAATGATTGTGTTGTGTAAATGTAATTTCTATATTCCCGCTAACCTTATTTTCCCTAATTCTCACGTGTCCTCCTCCTCTTCTTCTTCTTCCATCTCTATTTCTATTTTTCCTTTTTTTTTTTTTTTTTCTGCATTTTCTCGAGAATTAGGATAGAGAACAAGGATATTAAATGACATTGGGAAAACAAATTATTTCAGCTATCATATCTTCATTACATTATACAATATCTTTTTTTAAAAGAATATGTACGAAAGGAAAAAAAAAACATATTTTTTTTATACCATTTTCATTATNATGTAATTTCTATATTCCCGCTAACCTTATTTTCCCTAATTCTCACGTGTCCTCCTCCTCTTCTTCTTCTTCCATCTCTATTTCTATTTTTTCTTTTTTTTTTTTTTTTTTTTAATTTCAATAACAATAACAATATATGGTAATGTTTCTATGAGAAAAAAATAATTACAAAATATTCCAATATCATATCTTCATTACATTATACAATATCTTTTTTTAAAAGAATATGTACGAAAGGAAAAAAAAAACATATTTTTTTTATACCATTTTCATTATTATAAGTTAGTTATGTCATAGTTTATTCGTTAGCCATATTTGCAAAATCATATGATTAGATCCACAACAAGCGCTAGAAGAACCAATGGTTGAAAGACAAATAGGTCGAGAACACAATATCTTACTAACAGCAAAATAATTCAAATTTTTAACAACAATGAGATGAAAGAATAGTTGTAAAATTATAAAATAAGTTTGTGCGTACGATGCAACATTAGAGCATATTTATGACATTTAATGCTATGGAAAGCATGGCCTCCTTATTTTGCTTCATATCTAATCAAACATTTGGTCGTTAAAACGACTTATTGATCTACATGTTTTTTAAATTCAAATTTACAATTTATTATTGTATGCATAATACTTGTTAAGGTTTTATGATTGTACTTTGTAAATGTGCGTTTGGTACATTGGATAGAACGTGACATAACAAAACATAGATCTCTATTTCATGTTTGACAAGACTTTAATGTGAAACAAATCTATTTCACCCCTATTCCATGGAACAAGGTGGAAAAATGTAAAACAGACTCATATTTTACCAATAAACGCTCAAAATAAAACTCAGTTCTCGTCTAAAACATCAAACAAGTCTCATTTTTACATTTTATTCATTCAATAACTTTTATTTTTTGTGTTTGATGCTTTTTAAACTTTTATTTTATTGTCTTCAAAATATTATTTTTATATGCTTTATATATATTTTATTAATTCATGTAATTTATTTTGTGTTAATAATAAAAATAATGATCAGAGATAATAACAAAATTGGAATTTACATAAACTTTTTTATTTTGGTTTTATTTTAATTATTTTGATGAAAATTTTCTAATAATATATTTTGTTATAAAAATTATTATATTTTAATAAATTATATATATATATATATATATATATAAACTCATTATAGGTAAATTGGTCATTTTATTTATTTTGTTATATTCAATTCTATCTTACCAATCGCTGAACAATTATCTTATGCTATCCTGTCTTTACAACAAACGCACTCTAAAAATAATTGATAATATAACTAACGAGCATGTTCAAATAATATTAATTTAGATAATGTTCATATATTTAGAGTTGATTTTTAAAATGAAGTTTATGACAAAAAAACACAACCGGTAAAATGAGAATATATTTAGAGTAAATTAAGTTTTTCCGTCTATGTTGTTTGTTGAAATCATTTTATTACGTTTTTGAAATTACAATTTTTTTTTTTTTGTGTGTGTTTATAGTTTATAATTTATTTTTATTTATTTGAATTCTTATATTTAAAAATAATGTTTTGTCTTGATAGATACAATTATAAAGTAGAGATAAAAAGTAAAATTTTGATGAAATAGGAAATTGATAACAAACCATAACCATGGGGAGGGGAGGAAAAAGCATAATTTAGTTATGGAAAACACGTGTGAAAATGGAATAATTGATGAATTCAATTATTACATTTTGAACTGTCATTTTCTACTTTCCAATTTTAAAATTAAACGTGATGAACATAATTTTATAATCAAGAATTAAGAATTAAGAATTAAGAAAGATGAATATATAATTATGTTGTTGTTTGAATGCTTATGAATTTAATTAAAATGGATATTTAAGTCATAAATAATATTAGTATTTGTTGAATGATATATGTTAAAGAAAAGTAGTCATATTTACATTTCAACATCGATTCATATTCAACAAGGAACAATAAGCATGCGTAATTAAGTTATGTAAGAGAAAGCCAAATATATACATATTAATGAAGTCAATTTTAGGTAAGCAATCATATTATTTCTTATTGTTAAAATCATACAAGTATACTCATAGGAATATGCTCGTTACAAATGCTATTTCAATAATTGACGCAAAATATATAATATATATATATATATATATATCATAGTCAAACACGATATTTATAATTACAATTACAATTATGAAGATGAAGATGAAACTCATAAAATTGAAAGAAACCACATCCTTCATTCTGCAAATATATATATATATATATATATATATATATATATATTTAAAAGCTAGCTCTTGATGATTTTAATAAATATTAGGATTAGGCCATCCTTGTTTCAAACAAGTGCTTCAAGTTGTAGGGCGATGCCTCTTTCAAATCCCCCTTCCACCACCTCTCTGCAAATTGCCGGCTCGCCACTTCATTCGGATGATTCGAATCGAAGAATAGATAGTCGCTTGCATTCTCACACAGATCGAACTCCGCTGCTCCTCTCTTCCCTCCACAGCTATAGATCCCACCAAACGGACCACTACCACAACATGCACTCTCTCCAACCTTGAACCCTAATTCATTCCACACCATCAATATATATATATCATTCCAATTTCAATTTCATTTTCGATTTCAATTTCAACCCAATTTTACCATATCTTGATGGCTCCTTCATCCTCTTGCTAATGGCCGTCGATAGATCGTATTTTGAGTACATGAATCCTTCCAATTGCTTCTCCAGCTCTTGGAATTTCTTCCAAACTAACTCATTATGCAGACTTGCTATCATTTCAATCTCTTCGCTGCAACTATTGTCTGCCCGTCCTGCACGAATGCTTGGCCAACACCCTAGTGGTGGCACCGTAACAATTCCAAATTTCCTTCCTCCTTTCCCATGGATTCCCTTTTTTATTTTTTATTCAACCTTTTTAGCAAAGAATCAAACATATCAGAGTTCCATTTTTACGTAAAAGGAACAAAATCTTACCTTGATCACATCCGTCAAGTTTCCAATCACCATTTTCACGTATTCTTCATGGGTATAGGGATAAACAATACTTTCGTTGTTGCCCACGGGGCTCAGATAGTCGTTGCCTCCGCAGCTAAACAAGTAGACGGCATCAGACAGCAGCTGCTCGGCTTTTGCATCACCTAAATTCTGCCTAAAATCTTCCTCTACATCTCCGAAATACTCTAGCTGTGTTTTAAGGTCAACCACCTACAATGTTATTCAACCTTCTTTTTTATATGATGCAGAACAACAGATAGGGTAAATGGGTATTTCACTTGCAGAAATTTCTTAAAATACATACAAATCCAGCATGGCTTTCAACTAATGCACCAGCTCCTCCCGACGCAAAGTTTGCTCCGTATACAAATTCATGATGCCGGGGATCCAGATACGCCGGAATGAGCGGCAGTCCTGCATACTCAGCTGCTAACACAAGCAAAGTTAAGGAATCAGCATAAAAGAAAGAAAGATTTGTTTGAGATATTCTCACCGATGAAATCAGGGATGAGACGGCCATCGGAGAATCTCCCAGTTGGAGGATCGAAGTATGATTCACCATAGGGCCAAAAGTTGGCTTGGAATTCCGCACTAGTGTTTATGTAGTTGTTGTTTCCAGGATCGAAAAGCGAATCACCAAAAATGAAGAGCGCAACATGTTTGTTGAGATGCTCCTGACAAGTCAGGCAACCTGTAACAATCAACAGACAAGAAACAAGAACAAGTGGGAGACCCAGCTGGGCATTTGCAACAGCCATTGAGGTCTAAAACCTGATCTTCAATCTTCACCCTCACAAGTCGGTTGGCTTTTCAATTATGAGCATAGTTTAATCGGCAAAATAAGTCTAGAGTTGAGCCGACACTTTTGAAACATAAACAGTAAACAATATATATGTATATAATATGCCCTTTTTTTCTTTACAATATAGATAGGATCAAACATCACAAAAATAAAATAATATTATATGGGAAATTGTCAATGTAGCAGAGTTTTGAGATTGTAAGTTCCTCTGGTGGGTTTTTGGTTCCATATTTGATGGGCCATTTCTTTGTAAACTCTTTCGGTCAGATGATAAGAGTCCCAAAACACATACTCGTTAGGATTCTCACACACTTGATACTCGGTCACCGGCCTCTTCCCTCCACAGCTGAACGTTCCTCTAAACCGCCCTGTTCCGCAGCACGCTGTTTTCCCTTCCTTGTAACCTAAACATCATTTCATCACTCGGGTGGCTGTCAATTCTAAAAATCCGAGTAGCATTTGTTAGAGAACACATACCGTATTTGGACGGATGTTTCAGTCTATGCTTGAGGTTGCTATTGAAATCGTATAGCAAATATTTAAATCCATGCAGCTCTTCTGCTAATCTTTTTAGTGACTTGGTGAGTGCTTTGTTATGTAGTTTTGCTAGCAATGAAGCTGCTTCTATGCACCCACCAGAGTCAGTTGGTGGATTAAGAATTATCCTGATCCCCGGAAGACAACCCAATGGACCCAAATTGAGAAACCCGAATTTTCTGCCTCCTCTTTTGTGCAACTCCTGTAAAAACTTGATTAATGCCAAATCTACAAACACTCCATTCTATATATATATTCAAGTAGAGAGACGATTTACTTTGATGGCGATTGTCAAATTGCCAATAACAATTTCTATGAGTTTAGAGCTGGAGTAGGAGGAGTTGAAACGGGTGGAATTGGTAATCAAGTAGGGGCTTAAGTAATCGTTTGTTCCAATGCTAAACAAGTAGACAGCTTTTGACAATGTGTTGTTGGCCTCGACATTGCCATACATCTTTCTCAATCGATTCTCCACCCTCTTGTGATACCTTATCTGAGTTTGAAGACTAATTACCTGTCACATCATCAATACAAAAATATTCGTATATTTTTAAACGTTGAAAATTTCATTCTTCTTATGTAGCTTAATGTTGCTGTAGGTGTAAATTAACTTGTTTATAGCGCACGCAATTCAAGAGAAATTTGCTTCTTGGAAGCCACAAAAATGGGTACGTTTTCTGATCGCATCTAACCCATAATACTACCCTGAAGGTCATGGATTCAAGTGTCAGTGGTGTGTCTACTATTGTTTGTTTAGATGCTGCACTTGTTTAGAACACCAATTATGAATTCGATTAGAATCCTTATGTTGGAATGGTTTCTGGCATGAATCTTATGCTACACAAGTATATTTTAAGCATTCAAAAAAGATAAATTAATGTAGTGGTGGGTTATAGCTACGGATCCCTGACCCATCACCAATCTTTAGGCCCTGTTTGTTTTTCTTAAAAATCACTTAATTGCCTCTTAAGTCTGACCGATTCAGACCTAGAGGAATTAAGTGCGTTTGTTTTTTTTTTGAATTAAGTGCTTAATTCATCTGATTAGGTCTGATTTATTTAGAGGTAAAACATTCTCTGAATTCCTCTTAACGCCTCCATCTCCTACGCTCCGGCCCTCTCATCTCGCTCTCGCCTTCGCCCCTCTCCATCTCTCATCTCGCTCTCGCCTTCGGCCCTCTCATCTCTTGAATGTATTAAAAGTATATGGTAGTTTACAAATGGTTTAAATGATTGGATATTTCAGTTAAATTTAATTGAAATAAATTGATTCAGATTTCAGACTTCAGCACCACCTGTCAGTTTACAAAAACAAACAGTCTTATTGATTCAGATTTCAGATTCAGATTTCAGATGGAAAAACAAACAGTCTGACTG